GGGGGGACGGGTGCGCCGTTGCGTACCCCATCGCCGGCGCAGAGGTGCTGGTCGTGGCCATAGGCCGTTCCTCCTCCTCCCCCTTCCCCCGGCCGACTGGGCATGGTTCCTCTTGAGGCAGTGGTCGCTGGCGGTTCTGAGGTGGTTGGGCTCATGGATCTTGTCCAAGACGTGACCTTTGGGGCTTCCGGGGTGGTCCGGCGGCGAGGCGGCGGCCCTGGCGGTGGGAGTCGCGTTGGTCGTAGCTGGATTGCGCGACTCGGATGCGGGCGAGCAACCATGGGCGCTTGGGTGGCATGGTTGCAGGTGGTTGGCGGAGCGGGGATGCAGCGGAAGGGTGGAGCACTGGGGTTCATCACTTACATGTCCGTACACGGGTCAACGGTGGCGATGTCCGCGGACGTCATGTTCCTCCTTGCAGGCTCCGTTGTGGTGCTCTTACTCCTCTCGTCTTGTTCCGGGTGAAAACCTGATCTTTGGATCGGACGATGGCGATGGTCCGTGGTCGTGCCCTTCTTGGAGGCATCATCTTGGAGCCCTCGGTCCGGCGTTGTCCGTTGCACTTTTTCCCGGACGATCTCTCATCTTGATGGTGGTCTTCGTCGGATACAAGCGGTTTTTTTGCTCAATTTCTTGATACTTGGTAGTTGTTGAGGTTGTGTGTTGGTGTCTGGCATTCTTGTATCTTGTCTTGGGTTGTGTGACGTGCTTTTGTATCGGTTACTTGGATCTAAGTGTTGGTGCTTATATATAAAGCGGTGGAAAGCCTTTTTCCGTAAAAGACGTACTAGGCACGTACAGCAAGAAAATTCTAGGATAGTGAGAAGAACACAAACAAGTACTTCCTCCGTTTTTAAATATAAGTTTTTGTAGAGATTCTACTGCGGACTACGTACAGAGCAAAATGAATGAATCTGCATTCTAAAATGGATCAGCATACATCCGTATGTGCTTCATAGTGAAATCTCTACAAAAACTTATATTTAGAAACGGAGGGAGTACTTATTATTTTGAAATAATAAATCTCATGGAGTAGCGAAAATCTGCATCTGAGCACGGGCTCAGCTGCACCCGCTCAGAAAAAAATTAAAAAAAAATACTGAAAAATTCAAAAAATTCCAAAAAAAATTATGTGGTAGATCATTTGATGCATGAGGTCCGTTCCAAATTTCATCTCATTTGGACATCTGAGCAATTCTGGGCAAAAAAGACAAATCGAGTCAAAACAGTTCCTGAACAGTAAACTGTTTTACATACCTCGATTTTGTCTTTTTTGCCCAAAGCTACTCAAATGTTCAAATGAGTTGAAATTTGGAGCGAACCTCATGCATCAAATTATCTACCACATAAATTTTTTTGGAATTTTTTGAATTTTTCTAGTATTTTTTTTGATTTTTTCCGTGAGCGCGGATGCAGCTGAGCCCGGGTGCAGATTCGCCGCACTCATGGAGTAGCCATAACTATTGAGATAAGATGCACTACGCACGTACAATAAGGAACTTGAACTTCTATGGGCAAGGTGATGATCAGTTCCGTGGGGTCTTTCGCGACTGATCTGCCATCTTGACGTAGGTGCCGAGCGCGTCCAGGCGGCGGCCGGAGCGCGCGTGGAAGCCGAGGATCTTGCCGCCGGCCGCGGGAAGCGCGAACGGCACGCCGTCCTCCTGCCCGTACGGCCCGAAGCTGCGGGCGTTGCTGACGAAAGTGAGCGACCTAACGACGAAGCTGCCGTCGAACTCGCCGTAGTGGCCCACGACGCCGGTGAAGTGCTCGTCTGGCCGCAGGCAGATCTGAGCCATCCACAACGAAATGGAGTAAGGAGCTGCATCACCGATGATCGATATGAAAAACGGAGTCGTCTTCATCAGGAAGCAATGCATGTGTGTGTACCTCAGAGAGCGTTCCCCCTTGTCCTCCCCACAGGTCGGTCCACTCCTCCCGGCCGTTCCGCTCGTACAGGACGGAGATGGCGTCGACGGTGTCGCCGTGGCGGATGACCAGCTTGACCACACGGTTGACGCCGCGCATGTCCATGTCCCTGTCGTGGCCGCCGCCGCCGCCGCATGGCCCCATCCTCAGAACGGACCCCTGCATTTGGTTTTTCGTCTCTGGAAACAACGCGGGGAGCGTCTTTGCCGACGGTGGTCTAGCTTTGGCTCTGGCACGTATGGGAATGAGGACGAGCAACTATGGGTGTGTGGCACAACACAAAGTCAACTAATTGCAGTTCGTACGTGCTTGGCACTACATTGGGTTACATAATGTACTCATGGTGTGTTCTGGCAACAGGTAATGCCTTCTTGTGAACAGGCTGTGCATAAGATTTGTCTTGGATTTCCACTTGAGTTCAGTTCGGGCTTGTTTGGCAGTTGGCGTACGTCCGTCATTCGCTAGCCTGGTTTGGTTTTCACAAAAAAAAAGGCCTGCAATGTTCAGCAGAATTGAGTGAGATCTGGGCCATAGCCAGCCGAACGGGATTGCACACCAGGCTAGATCATGGGTTTTCATCCGGAGAGAGTACATCCACAAAGCCATCATCCTCTATTAAACCTCAAAAAAAAATCAACCTTCTATTGATCAGTTCACACAAATCTAGCCAGGCAAATGATAAGATGCCACAAAAAAGTAATGAGAAGACACCGGGAGGGGTGATATCATCACATCGCTTCTGATCATTGCCGTGCTACCGTACGCGTCGTGACCACACCTAGCAGCCATCGCCACCAAATGGCCATGAAAATTCCAGTTGGGTGCAGGAGAGGAGGGTCGTGCCTATCACGACCTCCCCACAAGATCAGGCCAACACCCAAGACCCCGTGTCAGAAGCACGTTTGGTTTGCAGCCAATATTTCGCATTGGTAAAGAGTTAAATACATTATAGGTGCCCTAACTTGTCCGGCTCGGTCAGTTTGGTGCCTAAATTTAAAAAATACATAAAAAATGGTGTCGTAACTTGTCTGGGTGTTCAAATACGGTGCCTCTGGACGTATGCCGTCGTATCGAGTGACCGCGTGGCATGCCAGCGTGTTGCCGGGCCACATGTCAGTGGTTGCAGGCGCGGCGCGTGCTGTTTTTTACGCGAATGCCCCCAGATTTTAATTAATTCTCGCAAAAAATACCCCTTGATTTTAATTAATACTCACAAAAAATATCAGAAAGTGAGCGTGCAGGGAATTCGAACATGCGACATCCTCGTCACCTGACAATCGAGGGGACCAGGCGGCCACGGCCTGGTTTACTCTTAATTAGTAGCCAACAGTTTATATAGATGATTGCATGTATCGCTCTGCACATGCTTTTACTGAAGTAATTTTATTTCTATTTATTTCCAAGTTACTATCTTATTTTTTCTTCGAGTGAAGTTTATGTTTAGTTTTCATGATACATAAATTTTTCCATATGAAAAAAATAAAATAATTATTAATATGAAATTTTGTTTATTTTATATCTCTATTCTATTTCCATCACTGTGTACTTTGAAGAGATAAAAATGTGCATATTAAAATAATATTGTGTAATGTTATTCTTAAATTTCTACAAACCCGCTTAACATGTTAGTACAGTTCTAGAAATTATTATTGTCACACAATAATATTTAATACATGTTGAACAGTTTTTAAATTACAATATTGTCAATTTTAAATAATTGTTTATTTAAAAAATAGAATGAAGATACACAATAATTGTTCGTGCTTATGGTCCTCATGAGGATGCATAAATTTACACAATATCTTTTAATATACGTTCTTTTTTGTCCACATTAATTTTAGAAAAAAATCATGTTTATCTCATCAAGGTACACAATAATGAAAATAGAATAAATATGTAAAATAAACAATAATTGCATATTGATAATTATTTTATTTTTTCATATGGGAAAAATTATGTATCATGAAAATTAACAGAAACTTTGCTCAAAAAAACCCGAAACAGTACTTCAAAAAAACTGTAGAAAACATGGGCAAAGCGATACATGGAACCTTGCATATAAGTTGCTAGCTAACATTTAAACGTAAACCAAAGTGTGGCCTCTTGGTGCGCCTGTTTGATAGGCAACCAGCAGTTCTGTGGTTCGAATTCCCTTCATGCTAACTTGTGTTTATATTTTTATGAGAATTAATTAAAGTACAGGCACGTCCCGTAAGAAAAACATTGTATATGCCACCCGGGCACTTATACAACGGCATACGCTCATAAACGTCGTATTTAAACGTCTAGACAAGTTACGGCATCATTTTTGTATATTTTTTAAGTTTAGATACCAAACTAACCGCATCAAACAAGTTAGGGCTCCTATAATGTATTTAACTCATTGGTAAATGATAGTACTACTAAGACTTGCCAAATATTAACAACTCCATATGACACAGGAAGACAACTTGTTAACCAATCAATTAGTAGCCAGTTAGAGCAACTCCAATGGGCCAACCCAAATGGACAGCGTTTTTGTCTGTTTTTTATTCGTTTGGATCGACCGCCAGCCAGCCGTCCGCCCTCTTTTAGTTTTGGATTGGCAGTGCGCCCAACGGGCCGACCCATTTCATGACCGCGCGCGTTTAACATTATGTCGTCGCCCTGGTTTTGGCGCTCCAGCGCGCGGGAAAGGTTCGGGCGCGCGGGGGAAAGCGGCCTAGCGCGCGCTGGCTTTGGCACTCCAGGGCACGGGAAATGTTCGCGCACGCGCCGCGACCGGTGCTCGCTATAAAGAAGACGCTCTCTCTACACTCTGTCGTCCGCTCACTCTCGCCGCCTCTGCGCCACCATGTCGATCCGCCGCCTGGGCGCTTTGGATTTTCGCGGAGTCCGCGAGCGCCGCTCTGGCGCCTTCTTCGCCGAGATCTGGTTTCGCGAGAAACCTCTCGTCCTCGGCACCTTCGACACCGCAGAGGAGGCGGCCCGGCGCACGACGCGGCGGCGTGGCGCCTCCCGAGGCCTCGTCAGGATATGAATTTTCCCAACGTGTCGAGCCAGCGGGCGCAGGATCTGGCGCCTCTCCCGCGGCTTTTCACCGACGAGGATCGTCGTGTCCACCGGAGACGGCAGCGTCGCCTCACCATCGTAGAGAAGGACGTGGAAGCCTTGGTGGTGTGGAGCGGAGGCTTCCCGCAAGACATCATCGACAAGCGCCAGTTCTACAAGCAATTGAGATCGGAAAGGGACACGAGGATGAGAGAGCGAGCCGCCTATCGGGAAGACAGGCGTTCGCGGAAGCAGACAGCTCAATTGAAACTGAAGCTACGAGAAATGATGGATTGGGACTTTAAAGACGAGGCGTATGCTGACGCCGAAGTCTAGTACCTTAACTACTCATTGCATTCCCTGATTACATGATGCTTTTTCTTGTAGCAACAGCGCAGGCTATGTGCCCTTTGCTACCATCTGGTGAAAGGAAAAGCTGCTCCGATCTGGTGAGGATCGGATGCTACCAAGGTGGCCTCTCCTGATGACTTCTGCCCTACCCCTCCTGTGGCTTCGATTATTCTTCCTCCCCGGCATAGGTAGTAAGCTCTAATTTGTTTGGGCTTACGTCGGAACCCCTCCCTTGCAAGTTTTTACATTACTACGAGTAAAAAGAGTCTTGTTCATGGACCACAACATTTGGCATAAATGTACATTTAGACATCGGAGGAGGACATTATCGAGTCGGAGTCGTAGTGGTCTTTTCTTTTTATCTGTGTACGTTAGAATTATCTATGTATCCATTTTTATCTGAAAAAATGGCCGGTGGCATCGACGACGTAGCAGGCAGGCGAGGATGTGAATCCAATGCGCCACCGACCAGCGGGCCCGGTGAGGAAAGAGGCGAGCGCACGCGCGTCCATTTTGTGTCCGTGCCAACCGGCTTTCTTGTCCGTGCCGACCTAAACGGACGGCCACAGATAAAATGGGTCGCTCCATTGGAATTGCTCTTATCCTTCAGATCCGATATGAATAACCGCCACCTTACATCACCCGCGCGCACCATATCCAGTGCATGAAGGGCCATTCACCTCTTTATTTATGTTTTAAACTCCAAAGAAAGCCCTCGATGTGATTCGAACTGCGTACCTCCATGTTTTTTTTAGCAAACGCATAACCAAGTGGGACACCCAACCTCTTATGCCTAGATTGCCTTTTCTTTTCTTGAAATGCAACGTTAGAAAAATGCAGTAGTTTCTTGTTTGATTTTCCTTTTTTACTCTCGGTTTTTTGTTTTTTGTTTTAATATTCATTTTTATTTTCCTTTGTTTCAAATTCCTGAACTTTTCCTTCAATTCATGAGTTTTTTTCAAACCGATGACCATTTTTTTTCAAAATTGATGAACTTTTTCTCAAGTCCGTGAAGTTTTTTCAAATTCTTTATTTTTCCCAAAATTGATGAATTTTTAAGAAAAAATTGCTGAACTTCTTTTAAAATTCTTGAACTTTTCCCAAATTTTGATGATTTACTTTTTCAAAATTGATGAATTTTTTAAATTTCTGGACTTCTCCAAATATCAATGAAATTTTCATCAAAATTGATGAACTTTTTCCAAATTCATGAACTTTTTCTCAATTTTGATGAACTTTTTTCCAAAATCAAAGAACTTTTTTCAAATTCTATGGAATTTCAAAATATTAAAAAAAATCATACTCACGGTGTTTTTAATCCCATTTCTTTTCATCTTTTAAAAAAAACTATATATATTTAAAAAAAAGTCAAAACGGTTGATTTTGGTCAATAGCTAGCCGGTCAACCATCGAGCCGAGGGATCAAAGAAATAGTGACCCGAGCGACGTGCGGGGCCATCTGCCCTTGTTGGCCCAGGCCCAAACGTGCATCACATGAGCGCTAGGAAGGTGATCGGGCGCTTAAGGCAACGAATAGGAGTTCCCTCTCGCACCTCTTCTTTTTACGAAAAATTTTCAATCTATTCATCTTCAATCATGGCAATACAACAAACACCAGAAGATATAAAAGTTACATCCAGATTCATAGACCACCTAGCGACGATTGCAAGCACTGAAGCGAGCCGAAGGCGCACCGCCGTCATCGCTCCTCCCTCGCTGGAGTCCGGCACAACTTATTGTAGTAGACAGTGGGAAAGTCGTCATGCTAAGATCTCATAGAACCA